TGGGTTGTCTCAGAATAGCCCGCCCATTCCAAGCAAACAGGTGGTCCCTCCACCACTGTATCTCTTGTAATGCCTGAGAATCGAGTTGTACAATTTTCTCTAAGATGGGGACTGTCTCAATGCCTGGTTTTTGGCAAATTGAATATGGCGATAATGAAGGGGGGCTGGAAAAATTGCTTGAATGGAAGAAGTCAGGAGGCCCAGGAACTTTGATAATTCTCGGACGGATGGGCTGGGATTGTCTAATAGCTCTTGACACTTCTTTTGTATTTTCCTGATTTTGTCCCTTGGGAGCAAAATTGTAAGGGTTTTTGAGTTTATTGTGAACCCAAGAAATTCACTACAAACCCTAGGCCCTCCAAAAGGTTCAGTGCTGTTGATGCATGAGTCAGAGCTAGGTTGTGAGATTGGGACATAATCAAAATGTCGTCTAGATAAATTATAATTTTCAATCCCATTTTCCTTAAAACAGAAACTACTGGTTTTAGTAGCTTGGTGAAAACCCTGGGGGCACTGGCAAGACCAAAGGGAAGGCAAGCAAACTCCCACATATTGTCTTTCCAAAGAAAGCAGAGGTATTTTTGGTGTTTTTGCCAAACAGGGACCATCAAGTAGGCATCTTTGAGGTCTATTTTGACTAAAAAATCCCCCTTTGTTAACAAATCCTTTAACATATGAATGCCCTCCATCTTGAAATGTTCGTAGGGAATCGTTTGGTTCAAATGTTTCAGGTTCACTACAGGGCGCTGTTCTCCCCCCTTTTTGGGCACAAGGAATAGGGTGCTTACAAACCCTTGCGCCATGTCGAACTGTGGGACTAAGTGGATAGCCCCCTTGGATGCCAACTTTTGAACTTCGGTCTCTATTAGCACATGATTTTCAGCGCTTACAATCAAAGGCTTTGGTGGATAATTTTGGACAGGGTCTCTGTAAAAACTATTTGGTACCCCTTGACTACTTGTAAGATCCAAAGATCCTGGGTAATTAGCTTCCAATTTGGGAGAAAGTGTTTTAATCTCCCTGATGTTGGACCATTGAAATTTAAATGAATTAAAGGCAGAGGCATACCTGTTGGAAGATGTGGTCTGGACTTTAAGTCTGGCTGGGACTGTTGTATGAGTGGAATCTGGCCCGGCCTCTTCCCTGAGGACTGAAATCTTGGGCTCTTGGACCGAGGTGGGTAACCGTTGAATGCAAACTTTGGTTGGAAGTGTGGGGAATATAGTCGGGGCTGAGCTTGGGTGAAACTGCCTGCCCGGTGACCCCGCCATCCCCGAGAGGCAGTCCTTGGAAAAAACGACTTTCCAGCATTGTGAGCTGCTGCAACTGTACGAGCAGTCTCTGATCTGGCTTTAAGACGAGCCTCAAAGCCTTCTCCAAAGAGTTGCTTTCCTGCATCAGGAAACTGTTCCTTACCAAGAGATGCCAAAGATGGGTTTAGCTTGGTAAGTATTTGCTCTCGACGCCGGGTAGTAAAGATAGCAGATACATCCCCCACAAGCATGACTGACTTCTTCGGACAGTTCATGAATGCTGAAGCAGCTTGATGGTCCAAAGTAACTTCTTCACCACCTTCTGTGGCAGTTAACAGGGGCAGCAAGTTTTCATACATTACGCCAAGAGGCCCAAATATATCACAGATCTTGTCATGAACATCACGGAGTGATTAGTCTGGGCCTTTAATGCCCGCAATTAAGGGCACTAAATAGCTATCAAGGTTAGGCGTGTAAGCTGCGTCTACATCAGGCCGGGGAAATTCCTTCTTAATAGCTCTACGCTCGAAACGTTTCAACGGCTGAATACTAGCGTTAATGAGTTCCTTTAAGTTCACACTGGCATCCCAACGTGAGTTAGGTGCGAGGATCTGATCACTTTCTTCAAGCTCATCAAGATCGCATTCAATAAGAGGGCGCTTGACAGCCCTAATCTCGAGGCAATCGTCCTCAGAAGGGCGTTTATTAATTTCTGCCACTGGACGGGCATGAATATCCTTCTCAGTTTCTATACCCGACTGGCCAACTGGCACAGCAGGTTCCAAATTATTTTCCGGTTCAGAGTCCTTATCGCTCTGACCTCGAGCATGGTTAAGAATCAACGGCCCAATGGCACTCGCTAAAGCGTTTCCCAGGACAGAAATCGCGTCCTTGTTGGCAACGAGAGCCTGAACAAGGTTATTAGGCGAAATTGGCAACGGCTCACCTTCTGTTTGAGGAGGATTCGATGGATTCTGATCGTCGATTTCTTCTGCCATTTTTTTACAAACATCCAGGTGCAGGAGTGAACAAAAAAGACGAGGAGTTGGGAGCAGTCACGTGTTTGGCCGAGGGTGGCGGAAGGAGTTTGAGTTCTATTAGTTTGTTTGGTGCTTTAAAAACACTGTATTTTGGTTTTGTTGGAGTGAAAATAAAGACATTGCATTGTTAAATTGAGTCGAGTATTTTGAAATATAATTATATCACGGCGGGCTGAAGCGGTGCCGAAAATGGCCAGATAATTTGATACGAGTCCGCCATTGCATGTCAGCTGAGTCCCCCATTAGGATTGCGTAAAACATGGCGTCTCTTATTGTCAGCTTGCACGATCTGGTTGACCACTATATTAAAACAGCAAAAGACAGGGAAAAGGCCGGGAAAATTGGTTCAGAAGTGCTTACAAGGTCAAAAGAAGTTGCGAAAAAATATTTGTTTGAGGGTGAAGATACGTGTATGTTTCATGTTACGCAAATTTATCCAATTGTTTCAAGAGAGCTACTTCGATGGAGCAAGATTGTTGCCAGAAGGATGAAGCCCAGGTCTTCTTTAGCTAATCCTTGGGGTATACGATTTAGTAGAAACATGCCGGAAGAAGTATTCGACTTGTTAAAGCTCACTGTTTTAAAAGGACATTACGGAACGGTTGCCAAGAAGACAAGTTGTGTAGAAACTCTCGAGATAACAACTGCAAGTTCAGCAAGAAAATGGATAATGCACGTAGGAAGCAAAACTAATTCAGAATGAAATGAATGGCAAGTATTTTCTATAAATCGTTTAAAGATGGATCACATTGTGAAGCTGTCATATGCACAGACCATCCTCTGATTATACAATATTCCAAATCACAAGAAAATGTCAAGATTTCACTTCATTACGGATACTGGAATACATTTGGCGTTCCACAACATTGCTCATGAGACCTTTTAATTTTACATTAAAATCTATATCGTGTTTTGTTCATGTAAATGAAGATTAGTTCAACCTGTATACTGTATGAACCTGTTGCATCAAGGACAACACTGGTCAAAAAAGCATTGTAATGGAAAACCTAAATTTATGATATAAATGAGATGCTATTCTGTCTATATAAAGTGAGCAGCTGATGAGTAGCTTTCTGAGTTTAGTCGTCTGCTCTTTTTTGTGTGACAAAATGGTTACCAGTTACATGAATCCTAAAGTTTACATAATATTGCTTATCCAGATATGCCCCACAAGTGACTGCTTACATATGCATAAACAAACTGAAGAAAATACTTGAATAATACTTGATAATCTTTAAGAGTTTAATTGAACTCTATGCCTTACTTACATGCAGTTAGCCTATTATAATTTGCATTCTTTGCCATCTTTGGTGACTTTTTTGCATGGAAATCAGAATTGTTAGAGTAATGCTGATCCACCACTCCCAGAAACATTCTGACAAAGTTGGTCATGCATGTCTATTTTGCACATTATACATTTCGACTAATTGGATATGCACTAATATAATACCGAGTACAAATCTCAAAGAACACACACTGTTTACTTTTATGTAAAAACTTTATTTCAGTAAAACATACACCTTTTTGGAAAAACATAACAAATGCATGTACTTAATAACTCTTCAACTACATATAACTTACATGAAAAACATGTATAGAACTATTTCTTTAGGTTAACAAATTTTTTAACATTCTCCAAATCACCACATACAGCAGTTTTTGCAATTGCTTTGAAAATAGCTGATGAGCAAATACTACACTCATTTTGTTCTTTTTCAATTGGGAAACCACAATAGCAAAAGGTTTCTAAAGCTACATGCTTTGGTATATAACGCTCTTCATATTTTGTGTACAAACTTTGACCTGGATCATGCTTGCGGATCCAGACATTGGCAATATAATCATGCCGTAACACCATTGACCACCTGGTGGATTTGGTGGAGTGCTTTGCAAATTGGGCAAGCCTAACATGTTTGGCCTCACGACCTTGCATACTGTTGACCCCTAAACCCATTCCATATTTGTCAAACAATATCTTGATGTGTCTAGGTATCACATAGCCAATGGTCCATACAGTTGGAGTCACTTCCTTTAACATTAGTGCACTGATATTGTAAAAAAACTGACAAGCCTGTTGACATTTTTCAACTTCATGCTCAGTAATTTCAACTCGAGAAAAGTATGAGTCTGCAACTTTTTCAGCAATGGTCAGCCTCTCATTAAAATCCCATGGGTGCCAGGTGCAGGCCTTGTCTTCTCCTAACGACCCATTTATTACAACTTTATTATCCTTATTGACATTGCCAAAAGTTGAAAAATAGTGGGCCGCATTGTTGAGCTCCCCGGCAACAAATGACAACCACTTCATGTCAGAGGGAATAAGCTCGACTGTAAACCTAACCTCAAAGCCATTAACAGTATACACCTGTTTTTCTAGATGAGCTATATCATGCAATAACTTTTTTGCAAATCTCTTCATGCCAGTGTGACTCTCTGAGCAATTAGCCCCACAAAGCAAAAAATTGTCATTCTGACTTTGAATATGTTTTCCGACATTTAAGGAAGAGAGAAGCCATGCGGTTGCTTCGTCGTCTTTTCCGAACGGGGCACCGTCAGCACCAATGGCTATCTTAAAATGGTATGGTGGGCTACCTAAATGCTTGAAAAATGACTCAGCTGCTAATTTCTGATATATACATTTCTGCCAGTGCAAGCACAAATGTTGATAATTCTCTGAATGAGCCACTAACTGGCTCCTCTAAACTTTCTAGGCCCTGGCAAAATTCAGTTGCAAAGTCATGGATGTTAGCAATATCCACTGATTTTGTAAAAGCTATCAGTTTATCATAGTAAACAAGCTTAGCAGTTTGCACATAACTACCTGTAGAGGTTAAATTTACACATACTGACTTATACTTTTTCTTTGACATAAGGCCATCTTCATACAATACTTTCAAGCTTCTACACAAGTTGTCTTGACTTTTCTCATACTCCTTAACCTGAGCTTTGGTTATAGCTGGGATAACCTTATCTTGTATCTTCCGTGAAGTATCAAAGAATGACTGAAGATGCTTCGGAGTACTTTCATTTACTAAGGTTACCCACATGCCATCCAGCGCAGCAGAGTTACTACCTAAAGTATAAGAGGAATAATGTGCATGTAATGTATTTGACCATGGTATCTGTTAGGTTTTGCCTGCAGTGGGTGGCATTAACCAAAATATTGATTCAATTTGGAGCTATCTAGACATCAACTACACTGTGATGATAAAACTTATATATCTTATTAAATTACCCTCAATATGGCCATGAACATTTTCGCAGGCAATTAGTGTTTCTTTGCATCGTCTTCTGGCTGATCTGGCTGATATATCTAAGCTAATTTTCTCTGAGTTGTTCTGGCATAGTGATGTCGGCATACTGTCCCTTGCAGTATTCTTTCTTTTTGACGGCATTTCAAGCTTTCTTCTTTTCACAGCTAGGGACTGCTCCTCTTCCTCAAGTAATGCTAAACTCTCCTTGTGCCGTTTTATCTGTAGAAGTTAGGGGTTGCTGACATAAGCTAGCTATAGTGTAGGTACTTCAGACAACAATGTGGTTGGATTTGTATAAGAAAAATCAACTCTACCATGAAGGAGGGCTTTTTTGCTTCAGTAAAAAATCCTTAAATTAATGGCTTCCACGGATAAACAGATAATTCGATATTGCTACCAACTAAATATTTATTTGTTGTGTTTATATGGGAAATTTCCAGGCCTACTGGGCAAGATCTCGGTCAGTCTATAATAGTGAGAGCTTGCCTGGTTTGGACTGCTCTCAACTTGTGTGGGCGAAAACATGTTTTAATATAGATTACGCAAAGCAAGTAGGATTTTGCATAGCAGAGCCAGCCCTCCTTGAAGGGCTCATTAATGTAAATATTGATGCAAATAATATTAATCACAAGTCACATATATTACATGCAGTTAATGGAAGTTACCTTTATAGTAAATATTAAATACAAGTCATATTTATAAGATTCATGAAATCTAAAACACTAAACGACAAATATTGGTATTTAACTGAACAGGAATGTCAGATAAATATGAAATATGGCTTCTTACCCTCTTTTTCAGTTTATTGACGTCTTTCTGTGCGATGTTTGCTTCATTCTGCAGTCTAGCAGTCTCACTTTCTGCAGCCAAGAAGTCTTCCTTTAACTCCTTTCGCTTTCTTGCAAGGTCCCCAATTGGAAATCGCTTAAAAGAAGCCGACTTGTTACTCGGCATGTTGAAGAATTCATCCGATATGTTTCTACTACATCGTACACCTCATGGACGTGCTTGAATTTTCAATGTTGGCAACAAAGTTTGACTCTATACACTGTCGAGGAGAAATAGACGTTAAATATTTTGAAAAACAAGTCAAAGAAGAACGTTTCTATGGTTTTAGAATCTTATTATAAGCTACAAAACAACCTCACTAACGAATTAATATTTTGCAGCGGGTTGGAAACGATTTAAAATTACACTCACTTTTACAAAGTTTTGCAGCCATATTTCTTTTCTGTGTTCTTTATCCGTACTTTGGGTGATCCATGACTTTAGAGGATGTATTTAATTTATCTTTAATACCACCAATTATCCAGCCATGTACTCGCAGAAAATATTTATTAATATTTAATGACCGTCACTCATCAGTGATTTTGGCGGCCATTTTGAAATATCAACGTGGACATATAAATGGCCAATTTGGGCTGAAGTTCAGCCCGGCGTGTATACACAAGAAAATGTCTCGTGACTGTGATTGGTTGAATTCAGTATATACAATTGATCCTAAACTGCAGTGTAGTAATCTATAACAACAGTGCAAATATCTATTGCAGAATGGAATACCATACTATTACCTTGACTAAGCTTGATAAAACAATGTAATAAAAGCTAGCTCTTTAACTGCCATCTTAAATTAATTTTGGTAATTATTACTAATATGGACATAGCATTTTATTTACTTGATCAACATAGATTGCCCTATTACTGCAGTGCTTTACTGCTTTTGACAAATACTAATTGTAATTGTTTTATAGTGGGCCTCTTTGATACTTCTTAAACATTAGGCATCTATATCAATCAATAGGCCATGTTTCAATTGCCTATAGAAGTTAATAGATGCTTATAAGCATGTACATATGTTGAGGCTAAAGGAGTTATTTGCCATAGCGAATAATAAGTTTATTGCTTGCGTGTATTATTCTTAGTTTATTTGTAGTTTGTAGATAGCGTTATAGCTATATATGGTAGCGCACGCGTAGAGCAATGGAGGGAAACTCGTTTGTAAACTGGCCTATCTATAGATTTGAGCACAGGGAAACTTTGTGACGTTTTGGAAAACGTGCTCTCCTGATTTATTCCTAGCGGAATGAGAAAGTTCAAGGCTATTCGCACTTTGCTACAGTTAAGTAATATTCCCCTCACATGCATGGAGCATGTTTCACGTGCACAGTCAGCATACCTATATAAAGAGATCCAAAAGGTTCAAGGTCATTCTATATTTGATTTCGTCGAAGCAATTTCGGAAGTTTTGTAATTATTACTAATATGGACATAATAATTATGATTAAATTAATTTTTGGTAATTATTACTAATATGGACATAGCATTTTATTACATTTTATTTACTTGATCAACATAGATTGCCCTATTACTGCAGCGCTTTACTGCTTTTGACAAATACTAATTGTAATTGTTTTATGGTGGGCCTCTTTGATACTTCTTGAACATTAGGCATCTATATCAATCAATAGGCCATGTTTCAATTGCCTATAGAAGTTAATGGATGCTTATAAGCATGTACGTATGTTGAGGCTAAAAGGTTTCTTTATAGGCCAACAATTGAAAATGTTCCAATTCCCTATATAGTTTTACAGGTAAGCTATGGATTGGCTTAAAGACCAAGCCTTTAGACTCTTATTGTGAAATTATGGTTCCATCTGGCCCTATACTGTGTATTTCTTGCAGATGCCCTACTCCTTCTCCTTGGCATACCAAGAAAGTGTTGCTGCCAGGAAAAGCAGTTCATATTTCACTTTAAAACTTCTCAAATAATGGATTCTAGAATAACCAGGAGTTTCGATGTCTGGATTCTGGATTCCAAAGCAAAAAAATGTCAGATTCCGGATCACCTTACCTGGGTCGATACTGTTGGGATCAAATATCTTGTACACAGTTTGATTAAAATCCATTTGGTTTTCTAAATTTTCAAAATGGCCGATGCTATCATAAAATCGACTACATCTTCAGACACAATTAAGCAATTACTCATTTTCTCTTGCTCTTAGCTTGAAACCTTCCTCTGTCTAAGATCCTAAGTATTAAGTGCAATTCGTCTAAGATGACATGATCCAGATGAATATAAAAAGTGGAGGTTGAAAAGAGCAAAATATGGCAGCATTCTTTGAGTTTTTCAATGCTCCTGCTTAATTCACCTGTACTGTAATAGTCCAAATCTTTGCTCATATCCCATCTTTGCAGCTGGTAGATATTGCACCATAGACAGGAATGGTCTGAAGTTGCCCCTCTGAACCCCATGGCCATTACAAGAAACTTATAATCCTCTCCTAAAAACATTTTGACTGGAATGTCCTGTCCATCCACATTTAATTTCTTATTTTTAATAACACCATTGATATCATTATTGACTGTAACAAAGGATGTTGCCAAAGTATTGTACTCTTCAGCACCATTCACTATTGCAACTGTCCTGTTTCCTCTGGAAGACATAGCACTTTCTCCTGTTTGCAGTAAAGCAAATGATAGGATTATAAAATTTGTTTTTCTTTGACATTTTTGCACCATCTGCACATACTTTAACCTTAATTGAATCTTTAGTTACATTATGATCTGGATGTGACTTAAGGAAATCCCTTATGTGATCTTTAAGGGTTTCTGAAAACGAGATTTGTGCCCAAGGAAATTGACCAGGTACTTTCTCAGCATGGCATAGTTTATTTAGTTCAGATCTTTTTTGTTTTACCAAATATGAGTGGGTAAATCATCGCAAACAAGTGTAAGTTCATGGTACAACTCATCACTAGCACAAAACGTGTATAATAGGAACAATAGCTGCTCAATAGCTTCTTTATCCTCAGAAGAATTGTCACTTTGGAAGTCTAAAGTGTGTATGCCATTTGATTCCATTTCCTTTACTTGACAGTTTTAAACCATATGTCTCCAGGAACCATAGAGCCACTTCAGCTTACTCTTTTAGTTCCTTGATTCGTTGACCTTTCTGCCTTTGCCCAAAACAGTTTATAGGTTTTCCATTAATGCAATATAGTTTTTCGATGTTGGTCCCGTTTTTAATATAACCTAGCAATTCTTTATTTAAGCTTTCCAATTCTTGATCCTTTCTTGATAAAGCTTGTACACCTGTGCTAAACTGTCCATCTCTTCCTCTAAATGACAATATTTTCTTCACCATTTTTCTACTAATTGACCAATATGCTCAGCATTATCCATCATATCTTTAACAAACATCAATTCATTAACCAATATGCTCAATGAGGGCATCTTCAATACTTCTCTGTATAAAAACAAACATGGTGTCCAAAAGCAGGAAATTTGAAGAAGAACCTATGAATTTGTTTGGATGAATTCTGTTTCTTTCATCATAAAATACCGCATTTTGCCAAAGAATTGGCAGAAAGTGGAATGGTTTTTAGGACTTGCTTTTTTGAACTGTTTAAAATTAAGATAAGCATGAACGATTTGGGAGGTTGGCACTTTGAATTCTTTTACACAAACTTGGCGGTGAAGACAAACCGGTAGGCCATTTTATGCTTTTTCAAGCAACTATAAGGGTTTATATGGGGCTATGAAGGTCTCATGATAGGCTTGAAAGGCAGATTGCTCATTTACTCAATAGAAAGAACAACAATTTCTGATAGTAACATGGTATTTTATGTTTTGTTGAAGAGGTCGGCAAACCACAGCAGGCTATGAACAGCATGATTTAAACTTTTATACATTTTTCTATGTAATTTACTCCTATTTCTATGCCATTTTGATTGCATTAATTAATTATATGGAGGGGCATTAGAGACAAAAATATCATAATGTCATTATATCATTGCATTACGTCGTGTTAACATGTCGTTATGCCATGCTATCATGTTATTATGTCGTGCTATCATGTCATTATGTCGTAATTAATGTTGTAACTTGCCGCAATATATCGTAATTCATGTTGTAACCTGCCGGAAATTGTTGCTGGAACTCGTCACTGTTTTTGTGGGAAAAGAACGTTATGGACAATCAAAATTGCATCCTAATCTCTTCGAGGTGAGGAAAAAGTTGAAGGATTGTTTAATGAAGCGAAGCCAGTTCTACAAAGTTCAATGAACTATTTAAATAGATTGTCAGAAGAATCTCTCCATGTACCAAGTACACCTATATCTGCTAGGACCTCATCAGCTTCTGTGCGTTCTACGGATCGGGCATTTGAGGAATTTCGGGAAGTTTATGATTTATCACACTAATCACAGCAGTTTTATTCTGAAGTCTGACTTTTTATCAGATCATTATTAATAATTCATGAGAAAAACTAAAAAGAAGTGAATAATTAATCATTACCAATGAAAATTTGTGCAAGAATGCAAGCCATACAGAATTTTGCCACTTGTTGTTGTGCAACCTGGACCATCTGGATATTGTGTGCCATATCTGAAGGAATACTTTTCCCAAGCTATTGTTTATGTGCAACCATTGCAAGTTAATTTGGATATTACAGAGGAACCATTAATCGTCTTAGACAAAAGGCTGTGCATTATTAATGGTCATGTATTTATACCATTGATGTTTGAAAATTTTGTGATACTAATTGAATATTCACAATTAATATCTATTGGTAATTATGTTGTAAGTGGCCAAATAACAATTTCATAAACATACACTTTAGGGCAAGAGTTCATCAAGTGGGTGCCATAAAATTGCATGTGTATCATGTGGAGAACAATATTCCTACTTTGACATGGTATCTCACAGAAATACATGTCCTAATGTAGGAGAGAAATGTGTTAATTAATTTGTTTTTTCTTAATATCTTGACTTAGCTACATTACCAATGTTGGTTATCGATTACCAATGTTGTATTGCCTGAAGGGAGCAGCATATTTAGCATTATATTATCAGTCCATTTCAAGGCTGCTGTCCCTAGTGTCTGTGGGTGCAGGTCTTCGTGTCAGATTGGGTCGCCCATTTTTGTACATAACTACACATTGATATTATTAAAACGTTATTTACTCTTCTGGCATTGGTTTAATCAATTACTGGCGTGGTGGCAGCGTCTACTACGAACCCAAACTGAGTTAACAATCTCAGATAGCCAGAAAGTACGGAAAGGCCGCATTACGTGCACCGAAGCAGTGGTGTCTTACGAAGACCGAAAATATAAATTCATTTGAAAGTTAGAAACAAAATCTGATA